AGTGCGTGCGTGCGTGCGTGCGTGCGTGCGTGCGTGCGAGTGTGTGTATGTGCGGATTTCAATAGGAATATCTTGATGGGTACGTTTACAGCGACTGGGCGCTGCCAGCATGCAGTCATATTCGTTCGATAAAGATCCTTTAACCGCCCACTACGTCTACTCATCATAGAAAATCGTAGGCAGTCATCGCTCACGAGCCCATCATTTTTCCTTTTTTTCCGGAAAGAAGCAGAAATCACCACGTCATTTGTAGTCAGAGGGTTTTTTTCTTCAAATGGCGGTATCCAGCCGGCGTCTCTTCGTATGGCTTCTTTTTATATATATTTGTTCGTTGCATAGTTATTACAATCGTGTCGTTTTACGTCGTGATCGTCGCGTTATCATGCGGACGTTCGGTCACGAGAGAAATCGATGCGCAAGAGAACGCAAGAACCACGTTATGCCTCGTTCACACTATTCGCCGAAGCAGAAGCGGCTTGCTTTGACTTTCAATTTGTGAACGGCGCACAGTTGTTACAACACCGCATCACGCACGTTCTGATCACGAGGCGATGTCTTCGTGAATGTCATCGTAAACGCAATGTTTCGAGTTCAATTAAAATCGCAAAGATTGCCCGAATGGCATTCAAATTCTACTCCGTGCGTCCCTGGGTTATACGCACAATCAGGGTAAACGCACTGAGAATCGATGGACCCATGCGTGACCGAGAAAACAATATTCCGCTACGCGCGTATGTACGAACTGCGAGATTCCGCATGCTAGAATACGATGGTTACATTGGCGTCATTTCACAAACGGTGCATAGCACTTATTCCGACATTTCGTTTCAGTAATATTTATATATTAATCCTTCCTCGTCGTCTGACAGATTTTGCCCGGTTAAAAGTCTATTAATTATACAATAGCAGTAAGAGCAGCATGCTTAGTGGCAAGCATGCTGCTCTTACTGCTATTGTATAATTAATAGTATAACTGTGCAATATTTTCATTTTGAGAAAAAGCACGGACTTTGCTGTCGGAGGGCGTAATAACTAGTGAGCGGTGTGCGGATGGAACCAAGCTTCAGACATGCGACGGTACACTTCGCTATATATACCGCTTGCTCATTTTCTTCCTTCTTTCCTCCATCTAACTCTTTCGCTCGTTTCGCTCTCTTTTTCTCTCTCTCACGCTCCCGCTCTTTTCCGCTCTTTCTTATTTTATCTCGAACGCTATCTCTACCTTCCCCTTCTCTCTTCCTCGCTTACGCTCTCATTCTATCTCTTCCCCCCCCCCTTCTCTCTCATTCGCGCGTGTGCGTGCGTACGCGTGAGTGCACATGTGTGCGTGTGCGACATTCCCTGTAACGAGCGTCCGTGGGGATTCAACGCAGTGTATTACGTCATTTAGTGCACCCCCCCACATACACACACTCACACACACACACACACTCACACACACACACACAC